CTACTAAAAAATAATTAGAAAGAAATTAGCTGGACAGGGCCAGGCGTGGTGGCTTCACGCCTGTAAATCCTAGCACTCTGGGAGGCCGAGGCGGGAGGATTGCTCAAGATCAGGAGTCTGAAACCAGCCTGAGCAAGAGTGAGACCCCTGTCTCTACTATAAATAAAAAGAAATTAATTGGCCAACTAATATATGTAGAAAAAATGAGCCGGGCATGGTGGTGCCGTGCTGTAGTCCCAGCTACTCGGGAGGCTGAGGCAGGTGAGGATCGCCTTGAGCCCAGAGTTTGAGTTGCTGTGAGCTCGGCTGAGGCCACGGCACTCATGCTAGCCTGGGCAACAAAGCCAGACTCTGACTCAAAAAAAAGAAGAAAGAAAGAGAAAGAAATAGCTGGACAGACTAAAAATATATTTTAGAAAAGTAGCCGGGCATGTGCCATGCCTGGTAGTCCCAGTACCTCGGGGAGGCTAGGCAGGAGGATCGCTCGCAGCCCGGACCGAGTTGAGGTTGGCTGGAGCAGGCCTGAGCAGGCAGAGATTACAGGCGCATGACCCAAACCTATTCCAAACCCGGCCAATTTATCCTTTTTAATTCTATTTATAAAATGGATAATTTCTTATCTTTTCATTTTTGCATTGTCTGCTGTAAATGTGTAGACCAAATAAGACCTGATTATTGTCTGCAAACTGACCCTGTGCTCCTCGCCACACTCTTGACTGAATATTGTAGACATGCAACAGCCAGCATTGTTCCTCGTCTCTTCTTTGTGTATCCGAAGAACAAAAGAGTCTTCTCACTCTGCTGCCCAGAGGCGTAGAGTGAGGTGCCGTTTGTAGGCGTCAGCCTAGCTCACAGCAACCTCAAAAAACAAATCCTCCTGCCTCAGCCTCCCAAGTAGGTGGGACCATAGGTATACGCCACCACGCCTGGCTAATTTTTTGTTTCCATTTTCAGTTGACTGGCTAATTTTTTTTTTCTATTTTTAGTAGAGGTGGGGTCTCGCTCTTGCTCTGGCTACTCTCAGACTCCTAGCCTCAAGCGATCCTCCCACCTCAGCCTCCCAGAGTGCTAGGATTACAGGCATGAGCCACCTCGCCCGGTCTAAAGTATGAGGTTTAGATCAAGGTTTTTTGCTTTTTTTGCATATGGATATCCAATTGTTTTGGTACCTTTTGTTGAAAAGACTATTCTTTCTTCTCTCTGCACTTTTTGCATAGTTGTAAAATCATATTGGTGTGAATCTACTCTTGGACTGTGTGTTCTGTTCCCTAGATCTATGGGTGTATCCTTCATCTGTACCATGCTGTCGTTTGTTTGTTTGTTTGTTTAGAGACAAGGTCTCCCTCTGCCGCCCTGAGTAGAGTGCCGTGGCGTCAGCCTGGCTCACAGCAGCCTCCAACTCCTGGGCTGGAGCGATCCTCCTGCCTCAGCCTCCAAAGTGGCTGGAACTGCAGGTGTCACCGTGTGCGGCCAGCCCTGTGAGTTTTGGGAAATGTGCTCAGGCCTGTAAGCACCTTCAGCACCATCACTCCCCCCAAATCCTCCGAGCCCCTTTTCTACCAGTCCCGACTCCTTGCCCCGGCAGCCACAACCCAGCGTGCACCGGCGCCGCACAACAGACCTTCCAAACACGGGAGGCGAAACGGACAGAACCGAAAAGGGAAATTGCAAAGCCCGCAGTTGCACTTGGAGACGTCAATAATCCTCTCCCACTAATGAACAGAACTGACAGGAAATTAGCCAGGACACAGAAGCTCCATCTGGACGGCACCATGCCGACCCGGCTGGCATTTACAGAGCTCGCCCCCGGTAACCGCAGAATGCACACGCTCTCTTCACGTGCAGGCGGAACCGTGGTCCAGACAGACCACAGTCTGGGTCATACGGTATGCCTTAACACATCTAAAACAACCGAGATCACACAAAGCATATTCTCTCGCCGCCATGAGATCAAACTAAAAATGAGTAACAGGCCAGACGCGGTGGCTCACACCTGTCATCCCAGCACTCTGGGAGGCCGAGGCCGGTAGATCGTTTGAGCTCAGGAGTTCGAGACCAGCCTGAGCAAGAGCAAGACCCCATCTCTAAAAAAAAAAACAAACAAAAAAAAAACAGACAAAGAAATTAACCGGGCACTATGATACTATTAGCAATTAGCCGGGGCGTGTGGCGCACGCCTGTAGTTACTCGGGATGGCTGAGGCAGGAGGGCATCGCTTGAGCCCAGGGTTGGTACGAGGCTGACGCAGCTCAAACTCTAGCTCCACTGTCATCAAAATAATAAATAATAATAAATAAAATGAAACAGCCAAAAAACACAGAAAGATCCTTAATTTTTTTTCCAATGTGGACATGTGACGCAGGACCAGCGTGCTTATTTTATTTATTGTTTTTCTATTAATAAATTGAGATGGAAACATTGTAGGGCCTAGGATTGACCTTGTCCCAAAGCACAAGGTCCCTAGCCAACCCAGGCGCCGCTGTGCGAGAACGGACCCATGCCGTTATTTACTTTCTCCATCATTCTTTGGGTTGTCTGCCTTGCCACCCTTTCATGGAAAGGGCCGGGGCCTGGGAATAGTATGTACGTGCTGCGCCCTCCTGCCTTGCCGCCACGTCCAACGTTGACTGTGCCCAGTGCCTGGCAAGTTGTGGGTAGTGCAGACAAAAATCTGCAGCCTCGGTTACTTGATTATATCTTGAATGAGAGCTAACAGTGCCAAATCAGACCTGTTTTGTGCATATACTTACAAAAAAGGATCGTTTTTAGAAAAAATACCTACAAAGCTTACCACTTATTAATATTTACATACTCAAAGTGCAGATGATCCAAAATCAATACAAACTAAAAATGATATAAGATTTGAATACTAAAATTTATAGAGCTTATTATTCCACCTGTGTGTTATTATTCCAGTTCTCTAATGTTGCATGACCCTGGAAATTGAAAACTCTCCAGTCTCGCCAGGAAGGAGAGTTGTCCTTCTAGTTTAGAAAATTAATTCCATAGTTTCAACTCTTTTTCATTTACTGAATTTCTGCAATAGTTTATCAAAAGTTTTATTAGTTGG